ATAAGGTCATATCACTGTTTTCAGGGAGAGTGTCAAGAAATTCTGCATAAATGAGCTGTTATATGTGTCACAGGCTGAGTCCATTCGGTCCAACTAAAACTCCTCTGTAGGCTAGGGGTTAAGTTTCTGGTATGTTATCATTCTTTTTATTCCTGTGAATAGGAAATTATAGAAAAAGCAAACTTGCCTACTTTGCACAAAAGCAGTTTAAAAAAAAAAAAAAACGCTAGAGGGCTTTTACACTCTGGAAAGAGAAAAAGAAAGGACGAGAGAAAGAAAAAATGAAATGAGATTTCATTTCATACTCCAATCCTTCTCCATCTCCATTTTACGTTTAAGAATTTGGGACATGCACACACACACATCAGAATATTTTTCAAACTGCTGTGTCCAGGACTTAAATCTTACAGTTAGTCACTTGAGATCCAGCTGCCTGTACTACCACACTGTTCTGAAAACTACATTTTAATCAAAGTTTAATGAATCTGTCCATTCCCCACATTCCACCTACCTCCCAGATTCTCTATTATTCCAAGTTGTCTTGATATCAGAAAGAATTTGCACCAACAGGTTCTCAGAATCTGACCAGTGTATTACTGTAAGTTTCTCTAGGAAAGAGAATAAAGATTTAAAAAGTAGATATCCAGTGAGTTATATATTTATATATCTATAGCTTTATTTATCACGTTTACCAGGTGTGAAACTGGTTGTCCTTCCAGGTAAGTGTGCAGGAAGTGCTTTAGAAAAGATCTTTCAGGGACCAGCAGTTGGCGTAATGGCTATGTCGCTGGACTCCCATGTAGTTGACTGCAGTTTGAGTCCTGGACTCCATTGCCTAAACTCATACTGTGTGTGTGTGTGTGTGTGTGTGTGTGTGTGTGTGTGTGTGTGTGTATCTGTGTGTCTGTGTGCATGCCTGAGATCCTAAGAGAGAAATGATTGCAGCATGGTCATCATCACTGGGGGATTATTTCTCGCTTTCTGTCTCTCTGTCTTTCTCTGTGTTTCTGGCAAGTGCCTGCACCCTATAGCAAAAACCTCTTTCTCTCTGCCAAAAAAAAAAAAAAAAAAGAAAAGAAAAGAAAAAAAAAACTATTTCAAATCTATATCTATATAAACTTTGACTAGTCAGAGCAAAATCTCGTTGTTACTTTTTAAATAGCAACTAAAATTGTATCTTCTTTTTTCTTTATTTCTAGCCAAAGAAATCCTTAAACTGAGTCTTATTCTTAAAATATTTTAACTTATGTACTCTATCTAGAAGAATACCTAGAAAGGAGGAATCTCAGGGAGACAAGACTGTGAACAGCACAATGTATTGACTGAGTTCATTATACAGTGGACCAATTCCTTATCAACTGTACTTACAAGATTCTGGAAACATGAACAATCAACCCAACAAAAAGCTAGATTACTGAATTTAAACTCTTCAGGCTATCATTAAAATGAGATTGGGTCAATAAATACTCATTAGTTCTTAATGTAGTATAGGTAATTGAAAAGCTTGTATAGTTTATTTATTTATATATTTATTTTGAGCTCAGGCATTAGAACAAACAAGTAAATAAAAGGTTGAAGGATAAATTAAAGGAATTAAATATAGAAATGGATAGGTAAAATAGAGAAGAAATTTGCAGACACCAGAAATATTTCAGAAAAGAGGTGAAAATAAGTGAAGAAGACTTCATCATTAACTATTAAATTTTCTGAAAACTTGGGTTTTTATAATACCCTATCAAATTTTTTCTGATGAAAATGATCATCCAAAAATGACTTATTTTGATGCAGGAAATTCTAAAACAATACATTACAGAAATTTTTGTGGTTCTGTGAAAAGAAAAAAAAGATTAGATTTTATTCTATTCTTTCTCAGACTTTCCAATAAAGTCGCTTTTGTTAGCAAGCTCACCTCTTAGATAAGTACGGATTCAAAGTCACCCATATGACAGGAATTCAGGAAGCAACTGTAATTAATATTGCTAAACCCTCAGGTGAAAAAAATCACATTACAAGGGGGGAATTATGACAGAAAGTCTATATCAATGAATTTTTTGTATGATAAACAAGTTAGTCAACTAAGTTCTGTGATTTCTACCTATGCCTATATACATAATTGTATGAAACTCCCACCCATAGATCACTTTAAAAGGAGCAAAAATCTTTCCCTCCTTAGGGTAATCAGAATTAAAACAAAGAGTCTTTTAAGAACAAACACAGGTGTCTGACTTACTCAAGAGTAAGAAGTTGAGGGTGACCATTACCTAGTAGGTAGAGGTAGAATGATGGCAGGTGGAGGAGTCTGGGTAGTTGGCTGGTAGAGTATAGAAAAATGCCTAATAACAAATTATGGAGATTAGTTTAGGAATAATAGACTTACACCCTAGTTGTTGCAGTGTGTGTGTGTGTTTGTAGGATAGAAAGGGAGTTTGTGTTGTTCTTACCAGATTCTGCAAGGGTATTGCCAGTTTTTCATATCAATTTCACTCATCAGACATCATTTTTTTCTCTTTCATGGATTCCAGTCTCATTTTCTGAAGTTCTGTGATCTTCAATGGCTTTACTTTCTATCTGCACTCTCTGGAACAGATCCCAGTTAACATTAAGTCTAATCCATGTGATGTGAGGACATTCACGAAGAGATACTGTTGACGTCACTGGGATTACTTTTCACACTTTCTTTGTCTCTGCAATGCAGATGTTCTTCTTCTGTAAGTCTGTCTGAGACCATTTTTGTTCTCATTGTCCAGCAGAACTCATTGTAAGTTCTGCTGCATTCTGGAACACGGCATAAATTTCTGGAGCTCGAACTAGAGAACGCTTTAATTTTAATGTTCACTAATGAATGTGTGGAAGAGTAGGAGGAGACATTATAAACTTGGAATGAAAGATTGCATGGAGAGTAGCCAAAACCATGAGGGACCCAGTAGATTTTAAGTCAACCCTCTTGGGTTCATCCACAGTCAGTATCCCTGTAGTTATTTCTAGAATTGAAGAAATTTCTTCTCTCTGTCCTTTTCCCCATAGTTAAAGACAGAGAAATTGATATGCAATTTTCCTTTTACAAGTTATTTCCTTTTCTGTAGTTCTTATTTTCAAAATTTAAATTCCGCTTAAATTCAGACATGTTTCTAAGCCAATTCCATACTACTTAAATAAATATACTTGTGCTATTTCCTTCGAGTGCAAAACTGTTTTTCTCTAGCCAGCTCACTGCAAAAATAATTTCTCATTTTTCATACATTTCCACCTTGGTCTTCTTCACTCTCATTTTTCCATGGTTTTTATTTTATTCAATCTCTCATTGTTGATTTAGGTGAATTCTCAGAGGAATCAGCTATTATTATTTCCAAAAGCAACCTCTAAATGTCCACATAATTACTTCCTTTCTTATCAATTACTGATAGAGTAGCAATAAAATATTTTTAAAAATTTTAGTTTGTTTTGGATCTATGAAATTAAAGATCAGTTATTAAGTAAAATTATTTCAGGATTGTTTTGCATTATTGATGAAAATGCACTTTTATCATTATGAACTATCTCTTATAATACTCCCTGCTTTGATCTTTAATATGCCTATACTGGTAAAGGAATTTTAACATCCATATGAATATTCCTGCAATTTTCTATTTTTCCATTTACCTTATATATACCTATAGCTACTTGACTATCTTTTATTGACAGAAGGCATGTACACTTACCAAAGACAGAGAGAAAGATAAAGATAGAGACAACACCCCCCAATGGATGTATAAAAATCACAATACATTTTTTTCCCCTTTATTTCTCTATCTCATTAGGATTTGGGGCACACATGCTCACATATGTAGCATGTTTTATCAAGCTACTGAAGATGGCATTTGAACCACAATCAGAGAAGTAGAATCTGACACTCTATGTAAGGGACATAATCACTGAGCTGTGGGCTGGCACTCATTTTTATTTATTTTATTAAGGCATATATATATATATACACACACACACATATACATATTCATATATATATAATTTGGTAATTACTGACTTGTTCTGCATCACTATCATTTCAAAAAATTACACTGGGTCAGCCATGTAGCCCAGTGGTTGGAACAGGCAGATCCTTCATAGTTTAATGCAGTTTGAGTTCTGACCCATTTGCTTGAAGAATACTCTGGGATTGTGTATGTATGCCCAAGGTTCTTAACAGGATGGAGAGATGGAAAAGAAGGGATTGTGGCATGGTCATGCCTACTGGGGAGGAGAGTGCTTTATCTCTCTTCCTCTCTCTCTCTAATGCATGTACATGCCTTCTGATGATTCAGAAAAATCACATAAATGGTTTGGCTAGTATATATTTTTCAACAACATGTCATTTCTCATTAAATGAAAATAAAGCTGGTTCTACAATGGCCAGTCCCATAATTTCTCCTAAAGCCCCCCCCTTTTTTTTTTAATCTCAAAAACCAGTGTTGTCTCCATATCACAAGTGGTGTTGTTATTGTAGGTTAGTTGTTCAGAGGCTGTTTTATTGCCCACTCCCTAGTAATATAGGTTAATGATAGACATTTGCAACTAATTTAATACTAAGGAAATTCTAACTTCTAAGTGCATTTATGCAAAATGTCACCCTACAGGAGAAAAAAATTAAAAAAAGACCTGCCTTTTACTTTTCTACCTAGTACAACAGTAAAATTAGATAAAAATTTACAATTGTCATATGTTAAACTCCATTCACAAAATACTATGTAAAATATGTTTTCTCTCTTGTTATTTAAATACCTATATGATATTCACAAATTTACTCTTTTTCCCACAAATCCTAATATATTTATTATTTGGCCATATATGTACAAGTTTTATAAACCCAGGCTAAATCATGAAGCAGATACTGTTTTAGTTTTATTTCTCAGGTTAAAAAAACATTTCCTATTGATAATACAATTCAATTATATCTAATAAAGATCCGTTTGGCCCAGAGCCCCAGAGTCTAAGAAGGTTCTCAGCCCAGGCGCGTCCAGCAGTCTCCTGCCTCCTCTTTCCTTTCAACATGACAAATGCTGCCGTGTCCTTCGCCAAGGACTTCCTGGCAGGTGAAGTGGCCGTGGCCATCTCCAAGACCATGGTAGCGCCCATCAAGCGGGTTAAGTTACTGCTGCAGGTGCATCATGCCAGCAAGCAGATCACCACAGATAAGCAATACAAGGGCATCATAGACTGTGTGGTTCCTATCCCCAAGGAGCAGGGAGTCCTGTCCTTCTGGCATGGTAACCTGGCCAATATCATCAGATACTTTCCCACCCAGGCTCTGAACTTTGCCTTCAAAGATAAATACAAGCAGATCTTCCTGGGTGGTGTGGACAAGAGGACCCAGTTTTGGAGCTACTTTGCAGGGAACTTGGCATCCGGTGGTGCTGCTGGGGCCACGTCTTTGTGCTTTGTGTACCCTCTTGATTTTACCCCTACCCGTCTAGCAGCTGATGTGGGTAAAGCTGGAGCTGAAAGGGAGTTCAAAGGCCTCAGCGACTGTCTGGTTAAGATCTACAAATCTGATGGGATTAGGGGCCTGTACCAAGGCTTTAACGTGTCCGTGCAGGGTATTATCAAGTACCGAGCTGCTAACTTTGGTATCTATGACACTCCAAAAGGAATGCTTCCAGATCCCAAGAATACTCATATCTTCATTAGCTGGATTGCACAGTTTGTCACCGCCGTTGCCGGATTGACTTCCTATCCGTTTGACACTGTTCGTCGCCGCATGATGATGCAGTCGGGGTGCAAAGGAACTGGTATGTACATGGGCACGTTTGACTGCTGGAGGAAGATTGCTCGAGACCAAGGGGGAAAAGCTTTTTTCAGGGATGCATGGTCCATTGTTCTCAGAGGGATGGGTGGTGCTTTCGTGCTTGTCTTGTATGACGAAATCAAGAAGTTCACGTAAGTTATTTCCTAGTTTTTTTTTTTCTCCTGTGAACAGGCATGTTGTATAACATTTCTTAAGCATTTTTGACAGTCCTTTGACTGTCTATCACTGGCAACTATTTACTGGTTGGAAATGGGAAGCAATAATATTCATCTGACCAGTTTTCTCTTAAGTTATTTCCATGATGATGATGATGGGACTCAATAATATTTTTTATTTCAGTCACTCCTGATAAATAATAAATTTGAAGAAATAAAAAAAAAATAGATCCGTTTGTAAACCAGTCTCAAAAGATTTAACAAGGTAGTCTGTATATTTATAAGATAATCATTCTCAAAAGTAGATATCTCATGAGACCATCTACAAAACCAATCAGAAACCCACCAGCTATATGAGTATGTCTAGTAAGTCTTATAAAGGAACTGATTTTAATCTGACAAAACAGAATTAAAATGTTCATATAAGAGCCAACAAGTAGAATGCTGGTTAAGGCACTGGACTCCCACTGGGACAACCATGGTTCAAGTCTCAGACATTGTGGCTTAAAAATCATGCTGGGCACATGTATGTGCATGCCCAAAATCCCAGGATGAGAATAGAGAAGAGATATGGGCCTGACCATACTCTTCAGGGTATGATTTCTCACTTTCCCTCTGTCTCTGTGTCTGTCTCCCTGGTGAGCTCATGTGCCCTTTGATGAAAACCTAAAAAAAAGAAAAGGAAAAAGAAATTATGTACATCTGAATATTTTCCGTAATATTCAAGCCATGATGAATGAGAGGTTTTCCAAGAATAATAGACTATTCCTAAATTCTCGGGTCATTAATCTTATAACATCACTTCATCCTTTCACTAACTTATAAACTTCACTCACTGAAAACCATAATCTTCTATGCCTGCTAGAAATATGCTGATTGAGTAGCAGCATGTGCATGGACACATAAACACTCAAACACACATAGAAACATAGGCTGTATTTTTGTAAAGAAAATATCTCCAATGATACATTATAAATGTTATAATTAGTCTAAGAACCATGCATAACACTCATGGCCATATTTTATTTTCTTATATTCCCTGTCATCCTTTATTTTATCTAACATTAAATAAAATATTTATTTTATGATTTTCTATTTATACTTTATTGCTATACCTATATGTATGGTACAGTAAGGTTTTACCTAGCATGGCAAGTTTGACAATCAAATCATGAATATGACCATGTACCTCATCTTCAACAAAGAAAACTATATTTTGTGTGCACCTTTGATTTTACCTTTTTTATGTACACTTTTGATTTTTTTTCTAAGATAAGTGCATAAGATGCTCAAATCTTTTATATTACATAAACTATTTGTCTTGTTTCAATGCAGTTTCATCATTTTGGGATCCGCAGTTGGCATAATTGGTATGTTGATGGACTCCTATGCTGTTCATTGTGGTTTGAGTCCCAGACATGGTGGCTTAAACTCATGTCAGGCGCATGTGTGTGCCTGCTCAAGATCCAGAGAGGAAAATGGAGAAGGGATTGCCGAGTGGCCATACCCCTGGAGTGTTATTTCTTGCTTTCTGTCTCTCTGTCTCTCTCTTTCTAGAGAGGACATGTACACTATAGCAAAAAACTCTACAAAAAATATAAAAATAAATTAGTTAATAAATGCATTTCAGCATTTGCTAATATGTTTTTCTTGAGCATTTAAATTGTATTTCTAAAAATGTGAAATTATCTGAAAATGCATTCTCAAGTAGAACCTTCCTATATCTTCTGTCTGTCATGATGTGCTCTAATCTCCTTGGCCACTATTTCTCATTCCACAACAACCAGCCTAGGCTACCTAACTGAAACAGAAAATATGCAAAGCAAGGCTCTCCTCACTGCTTTTAGTCACATTTCAGTTCTTCATTCTATTTGAAACCTCACATTCCATGCTTACCTAATCTCTTTGTTTCTCCCTCTCTGTCATTATCACAGAAATGTAGTAATACACATTCATAAAACTGAAGCACTCTCTCAGATTTACCAGTACAGCACTATTCTCTAACTTATGGTTTATAATATTGTTAAGTTTCTAATAACATGATGAATAATAAAGACCTAATGGTAGAAGTAGCGGCCAATGTATTGATGCATAAAATACAGCATGTGAGTTCTCATGATGTTTGTTCCTATAACTATCTGAATGACTTTGAGGATGTATTTAAACTATTAAAGTTCATTGTTTCATCAGATTATTGTAAGAATGCAGTCAACGTGGACCAACATATTGCATAATGATTGCATCACTGGATTCCCACATAGTTGACCACAGTTAAAGTCCCAGACTAGGTAGCTTCAGACTTGTGCCAGGTGCATGTGTTTGTGTGTCTAAAATCCTGAGAGGAGAATGGAGGAGATGGGATTGTGGCGTGGCCATTCTATGAGGGGATGATTCTTCACTTTCTGTCTCTCTGTCTCTCTGGGACAAGGGAACACGCCCTAATAACAGAAAATTCTCTATCCCACCACCAAAAAAAGAATACAGTAAACATAAACTTCACAGAGTTTTATTTATTTATTTATTTTTGATTGGGATGACTAAGAAACAAGGATAGTTAAAAAACATGTTTTTATTCAGTAACTGGACATTCTAGACTTGACTGCATTTAAA